TTGAGTAATAGCTTTTATTTTTTGTGAGGATGAGGTGTGCGAATCAAGATGACGATACAATAAAATTTTCCAAATATTTATTAGGGTGGGTGGGAAGTTGTTAATGAAAAATGTATTTGTTAATATTTCTTAAGTAAATCCAATTTCCATTTAATGACATTTGAACCAAACACCCAATATGAAATTATGAAGTAAAGTTTATTTATTTGTATTATTTTAAGTTCAAACTAAACATACCCATGTTTTGAATGTTGTGGTTTGGCTAATGAATGTCAATTCATTTGGATATGAATTGGCACTATTATCTGTGTTTTTCATCTGTGATAAGGTTGGTTGATTACGAATTAGTTGTTAGATGTTGATAGGAATGAATATGGAATGGGGAATGGGGAATGGGGAACGTTAGATGTTGATAGGAATGAATATGGAATGGGGAACGGGGAATGGGGAACGGGGAACGGGGAATGTTTTAAAATACCAACCAAAGTTAGTTGTAGTAAAACTAGCGCAGTAGTGATTTGATGAAGCTGAATCTCAGCTTCTCGATTGCTATTCATGTTTGACTACTTGTTTAGAATGGCCTAATTGGTCTGTTGGAACTCAAGAATAAATTTCATTCTGCTGGCCAAAACACACACACAATGAAGTGAGCTTTTTGTTGTCCTTCATTTATAAAGATACTGGAACTTATTATTTTCTGTTATATTTTGAAATTTAACTTTTCTTTTTATTCATGAATATATAAGACAATAAGTTTTGCTGCAGTCATGAATCATATGCAAAGATAATGAATTTATGTAAGTACTAGTAATTTCCTGTGTTACATCTCATGTTCAAATCTGAGAAGTAGCGTTGCATTGTTTTGCTTTCTCAAAGTGGCACTATATTTTTATTGTCATTGATATTGGAGTTAACCCAAATCACAATAGTAATAGGAAATAATATTACTAAATGCAAACAAGGGGTCACAACTAGACACACTTGAAAGAGAAATTACAATAAATACGACATGACGATATGTTGAAATAAGAAATAACAACAAAAGATAACACAAACTCAAACTAGGATAGATCTCAAGGTGGTAGTGGTGATCGGTGAAATGATAGAAGGCGGTGAGATGGTTGGCCAACGAAAAACAGCAAGTTAGCGGTTCCGGGCAGCAAGCAGGCAGTGGTAATGACGTAGAACAGCTGTTCTGGATGATGGCAGCAAGTGGGAGGGGGTAGGACGCAAGTTATGGAGGCGGCAATGCGCAGGAAGGGAAGGAGTGGTGGCTTGGAAGGTTGGGACAGGCAGGGATAGCAGTACGGTTGCGGAGGGATGGTAGTGGTGGCTAGAACAGCTGCAAGGCTAGGGAAAAGGGGTCTGGGTGGCTGAAACAGTATGAAAACAGCTGGGAACAGCTATTACCAGGCCATTGACAGCAAGGGGGAATGACGGTGGCAGTAATTGGGGATGTAGGGGGCTGGAGTACAGCAAGAGAATGGTTGTCTGGGTCGGCGGCAACGAGGATAAGGTATGTGGAATTGGAAAAAACTGCTGTGAAAGCAGCGACTGTGGCTGTTTGGGGATGGTTGCAGCAATGGAAGGTGGTCGGCTTAATCACCACCTCGAGAGAGAGATACAAAGGGAGCACCATGCAAACCCTCAGATACAGCTTTCGAAGGGAGAAACGGACACCGACGTTTGTCCTAAATAAACTCATGACCAAAACTAAACCTAGAAAATCAGAAACACGAATATATAATAATAAGATAACTATGAGTGACCCAAGAGAACCGACCAACTCCTAGAAATGGAAAAAAATCAGTCCAGGAAAACAACCGTGTAGCAACTTCATTTGCGGGACTTTTGCATCGAGACCAGATTGCTCCCGCATCAGTCTCGTGGAATTGGGGGAGTGTCGACCCCATCCATCGAAGTTTCTGTCTCCTTTATAGTCAGGTCAGCTTCGTTGAAGGTAATAGAAATATTGCCAACTCTAGGTACATCGCTTCTGTAGGCATTGTCATCTCAGCGCACATCTTGATAGAACAAGTATCCATCCATTTTTGCCATAACTTGAGCTGGAGCTATCTGTGGATGGATATCCTCACAAACTAAGCTTGAGACATCAAATTTGTAATTAGTTTCTTCTACTTATACTCGTCCGAGTGTATTTAGCAAACAAGTATGTAAGGAAGAATCAACTTTGGGACGAATCTATGGCAGGTTGGGCCATACTAAAGGGTAACCATTGAGGAGATGCCTCTTAATTCTTTTTGAAAGGACCTAGCTTCCAGTGTAGGAAGTTCCTTCCTGAAAAACTTCTAATGTTATTTTCAACACGGGTTCATATGTCCTGCTTTATTAGTTGTTAGTGGGTATACTATCGAACTAAATTTAATACATCAATGACTTCTTATGTGCTTCCAAAGGTGGCATAAAAGAGCGTCTTCTATGTCATATTGAACCTCCCTCGGCAAGAGAAACTTGGGAATTAGTTATATATTTGAAAAGTCTGGATTTCTCTTATCTGGGATCGCTGTATATTCGATATCGACTCCTCAACTCATGACCCTTGTGGACGTCCGATGTCAGACTTGTTGATGCTCTTCTCAATGCCTGCAAAATGGTAGCTTGAAGCCCCACAATCTTATACTCTACTTGAACGCACATTATCTCAGACTCACTATCTTCCGAACAGCTACTGTCAACTCAGTTGGGGTTTCTCTCCTGGGTTTAATTGGAATCGCTGGCGTCTCTGCTCATTGGCTGGAAGTTGAGAATTCTTTCTAAAATCTTTTTCTTCTTCTCTTGAATCACTGTTTATTTCTTCAACTGCTCTTTCATCCGTGAAAAAGATCATTCTCGTGGTTATGTAATATGATTCAATATTCCCAAATCCTTAGCCTTGAAAATACTTCCTGACTTTGATAGATTTGGAAATGCGGATTGGTTTCACCTATTCTCCACCCTGACATGGTTCCTCATCAGGTGGGGTTCGCTTGGATGTTTCCATGAGTGTGCTCTTGTTGTAAGATCATGTGGTTGAACTATGCTTGTAAGATGTGTTCATCCATAATGTTGTCTCCGCTTTTAAAACTAGGTCTACACATCCCGTCTGTGATGAAATGGTAGGTACTAGCACTGCATCTCCCATTTCATCTGGGACCAAGTAGTGATCTTATCTTTCCCTCAAGCTAGTGTAGGCGTTTCAAATATTTCCACTAAAATAATGCACTCTTATTAAGTTGTTAGCGGCTAGTTTCATCATTCCGTTAGGTGAGTTGTCTTGATACTAAAAAAAATTTTCACTGTCTGAAGCCACTGGATGAAATCATCTAGATTCAAGTGACTGTCAAAATTTGGCAAATTCATTGTAACTTCAAAATCTCTGCTTCTCAAATATTTCAGGTCAATTCTTCGGGATTGTGGCAATTCATCTCTGAAATATCTGACAAACATTTCATCTAGGTATCCTCTAACAAGCCCTTCGTCTCTCGACCTCCTTTGATATTGTATTCCAAAGCATTATAGTGTGTCTGCTTCCCCATTAGAATCATCCTTATGTGAGGGATTTAGGTGTTACTCTCTCTGCTTCGGATCTCACTATCACACTCATTGGTGACCTGTCATTGGGTCGTTTCCTCAATTCATCGAGCCGTTGTAGCACTCGGTGGAGTTGCCAATGTATCTCTTCCATGGCAAACTTGATCTGGTTTTGGTAGTTGCCTCCTTGGTAGTAGGATTCGGTTTGGGTGTAGGTAGGAGGTGAATGGGTGTAGGGATGGTGTACGGAGCGAAAGAAAAATTTGGGGTGTGGAGATAGGGCTGGGCATGGTGGATGCTAGAAATTTTTGGATAGGACCAAATGATACTGGAGTTAACTCAAACCACGATAGAAAAAGCAAAAAGGCAGTTACAACCAAACACACTTGAAAGGAAAATTATAACAAATACGAAACAACGATATGCTGAAATAGAAATAACAACAAGTGATAACAAAAACTAAAACTTGGGTGGATCTCCGGGTGGTGGTGGTGATTGGAGAGGGGTTGGAAGGTGGCGAGATGGTGGACGAGCTGGTCAGCCAACGGAAAACAGCAAGGTGGCATTTTTCCGGGTTCCGGGCAGCAAGGAGGCAGCGGATAATGACGTGGAGCAGTTTTTCTGGATGATGACAACGAGTGGGAAGGGGGTAGGGCGTAGGTTATGGAGGCGGCAACACATGGGTAGGAAAGGAGCGATGATTGGGGAGGCTGGGGCGGGTAGGGACAGCAGTACAGTTGAGGATGGGATGGTGGTGGTGGCTGGTACAGTCGCAAGGGGTTTGGATGGCTGGAGCAGCAGGGGATGGAGGGGGCGGGACGGCAGTAAGAGGATGGCTCTGTCCGGGACGGCGGCACCAAGGACAGGTGCTTGGAATTGGAAAAGCTGCAGTGAAAACAGCAATGGTGGATGTTCATTGGTGGCTGCAGGAATGGGAGGTGGTCGGGAGCGACGTGAGGATAAATATGGAAGGGGATATGGAAGATAATCACTACTTTGGGAGAGAGATACAGCCAGAGCATCACCCAAACTCTCGGATAAAGCCCACTAAGAGAGAAATGGACTCCAGCTGTTGTCCTAAACAAAACTCACGACCAAAACTAAACCTAGACATCAGAAACGTGAGTATATAATAATAGAATGTCTGGCCGACTCCTCGGAATTGGAAAAAACATTGACGGAACTGGTCCAGGCAAACAACCAGGTCGCGGCTTCGTTCGTGGGACTCCCACTATAGGAGCAGGGGGCGCTCCCACACCAATCGTGATGTCAGTTAACTGCTTATAGGAGAAATTGTGAAGTTGACCCACTTCAGTTTTCTAATCATCCATCTACTGGCAATTCATTTATCTTGGAACTACTTTCCGGGAGCATTCTAGTATTCTTGATTATTGTGCATACTCTGCTATTAATGTAATGTACAACGGTTCAGAGGAAACTAAAGGATTTGAATTTACCTTTTCTTGTAGGATTTTACTGTGGAACAGGACGATTTAGCTCCAACACATGGATGGAAGTCATACTATGCAGCTACAAAAGCCATTGTCAATGTAAATGCAGAATTCTGTAGCAGGGAAAGATCGCTACCTGCTATGGCTCGTTTCTGGCTCCATGCAGACTATGTGAAATGCATTCACAGCTCAGGGGAACTTTATATTGGGTATTACGTGAATCTATGTCTAAGAAACTCTGTTGTCTATTAACTTTTCAATGCAAAAAGCAGGCACTAGAAAATATTTTAGATGTTCTTTTTACTGTTTCTTATTGGCCTTGATTGTTGAACTTTGTTTTTCTTCTTGTGAATGTTTAATATTTGTTCTAGGGCTTATAATGAATCAAGTTTTGGCGAGCCATCATCAAGTCAGCATCATAATCTCTTAGTTTTGTTTACCAAAAACTCAGTGAAGGTTGCAAGTTGAGCAACTTGATTCAAAGTCCTTCAATAATGAACCAACTCGAGAATGATTTTGTGCTGACTTGAAGTCTTTCTTTATGAGGCAGAAAACTGGGCTTAAGCTACCCTAGATATTACTCAACGAGTCACTTATAAACAACCATAATAAGGTCTGATAAGATATGAATCCATCCATCCATACATATATATTTTTTAAAAGAGAGAGAGAGAGAGAGAGAAAATTCATCTAGAACAATAAGCTACTTGTCCTCACATTTTGCTCACCATTCATTAAAAAATTTATATACTGATTTAAAGTAGTTAATAGCATTGCTCTTGTAAAAAATAGATAGTAGTCTTATTTTCTCTCTCTCTTTCTCTTTCTCTTTATATATATGGTAAGAGAAGATGAATACTATCCATTTTGAATGTTAGAAACATTTGTCCTTTCATTTTTCATCATCAAACAATGATTTTATATGATTATGATTGAAGCAGAAAAAGGTTTAATGATATGAAAAGTAGTTAAAAAGTTGTCTTTTAGGTATTTTAAAAATTCCCCATCTAAATTATTAGTAGAGGTGAAATATGTGTGAGGATAAGTGGCTTCATCATTCTAAATGAATAGTAGTCTCTCTCTCTTTCTATACACACACATACTTACGTAGACTCACACAGAAAAACACAATTGAGGCACCCATAAATAGAAAATTGAAAACACTGTTGTATCTCATAACATAATTTTACTGCAGGAAGCTCAGCTGTACGGTGTTACTCTTGAACATATTTTTTGAAGAGACAAGTGCTTATCTCATTCTAAATGTTATTATTTTTCTTGTTTTATACCTTTAATCATGAGTCTAAGTGTCTGTTTGGCGCAGTTGTTGATTATTTATAATTTGCTGATAAACAGATTATTCTGATAATATGCAGATTATCAGAATAATCTGCCTTGCTGTTTGGGGCAGCTTATTCAAATTAGTTTATTGGTGGTTAAATGACATTTCTGCCCCTGCCTGATAAAACTGTTTGGGACAGTTTATTCAAAATAGCTTATTGGTACTTCAAAATTGCTTATTGTTAGAACAGAAGTATATAGTGCAGAAACATAAGATCATCACATATCAATTTTAATAGATGACATACAGTTCTCACACTTTCGTGAGTACCAGAATAAATAAAAAAAATACAAATACAAGTACAACTATAATGAGAAATATTAAAATATTTAATTTCAGACTTTGGCTATGCCCGTCGTCATCTGCACTGTCAACCTGAGAAAACACCGGATTCCCATGACCGCTGGCAGTGTAATATGAGGGACTGTCAGCCTACCGGAAGAAGCCACAACGAGCAGAAACATCCTTGGCACAACCGTAGAACTGTCTCCAATAGCTATGAGTCTGACGCGACGTGAGCAACGGAGACAGTAGACAACAATAACACAAAATACCTTTATCTGTAACTGATATCTTAGAAGTCGTGTTTGTTTAATTGTGAAAAAAATCAAAAAAAAAAAAGTCAGTACTTATTCCCAAAAATAAATAAATAAAATACACATAAAAATTAATCTACATATATACGAAGAAAAGAAAAACTTGCTGGATTAGCTGTCATGTATAACATCTGTTATAGACTCCCTAAGAGCAGCTATTTCAGCCACACCTTCCGCGTCATGAACTACAAATTCATTAAATTCATTCTCATTCTCATCCTCATCCTCAGTTGTCTGATTGGAGGTCATTTATAACTAAATATGACTGCATAATGATTTGTATGAAAATAATTTATACATAACTCATGGCATATTTATTTATGTTTTATCACACATAATGTTTTAATGTATCGTTTTTCCTCCTTTTTTTTATTTTTATTTTTGTGATTCACATTTCACAGAATGACATGAAAAACTTCCTATCCATGTTCGCTTGTATTAGCAATTTATTGATCTATTTGTTTGAATTGATAAATTTTGGTTTAATAAGATTAGAGTAATTTCCCCCCTGTTGAGTATTAAATAGTGACTTAATAAGGATTAAAATTTTTTTACATCTTTTTCATACCTGAACAGGATTTTCTGGAATTTGCTAAAACGGAGATCATGTTTGCTAAAATAGATTAAAAGATCTACTAAGCTCCTGTACATCTGTGAATAGTATGAATGGTAATCTTATATAAGGAAAGGGTAGGAAAAAAAACTTTGTATAAACATTACAAATATTTCAAATGTATCCAATGGATCTTTAATTATTGCCTTTCTATCCAGTTTCTGTAGATTCAATTCTGGCATAATGTTTTTGTAGGTATTGCTAATTATATTAGACCGGTGTGTTTCTATGAAACTCATCTTTGTATAGATGCAAGCTTTAGATCATTTAAGGAAATTGTTATTTGACCCCACCCCACTTTTGCTGCAATAATTATTCTTTCAGTACTCGTTAATATAGGCATTGCTTTAAACTTTTCCTAACTTTTTAAGGCCCTTACTGAAGGTTTCACTTCATGATATATTTTAGTTTGGCAATAAATTCTGTGATCTTGAATTTTGATTTGATGACAAGTTTAGTTGTGGTATGGTTTAAATGCAGTTATTATTCCATAATCTTTTGTCAATACTAAACCAGTAGAAGCATTTTGTTTTGCATTTGTACTGGCGGTCGGGCACACATTTATTCTATTTAATCATCCTAGAAATTTTCCCTGTAAGGAAATCCTGTTTTTACACTTTTTATGATGGTTAAATGGTGGAAAATCAGGTCTAGCTGTGGATTCTTTCATGAAATTCTGCTAAATGAAGATCTCATCATTGAGTTGATTGGTTAGTTAATGCTGCTATATATAGGTTTCCTTCTGATTTTTCTTCTTGACGCCTTTCTTCCTTTTGTTGATCTTCCTTGTGCTGATTTTGTATCAAGTACTTGATTTTCAAGGAGGTTAGTTTTGCATTTCAACTTCTTTACTTCAATTTTAGGGTTTTTTTTAATTATTTTAAATTTTCAATTTTTTCAAATTTTAGTTTGGTCATGCCAAGCAAATTAAATGAACCCAAAACTCATTTGTTGTGCTCTATCATATCTAAATTCTTAAATCTTTCTAAAAGCATGTTACACTACTTCAAGGCTCAACAGTGCTTTTCAACGGCCGGATGCTGAGGCGCTCTATGTTAACGGAATATTTTTCTTCCCCACCATTTCATATCTCATCCATAATTGTAGGTTTGATATCAGTCAGGTGCCAGGAAGGGGAGAGAAGATAAAAGGATGTGTGAATTTTGAAGCTCTCTTTCTCAAAATAAAACCTTGGTTACATCCTAAGCTAGAAACATAAGACATTTACATCTGTTCTAGCTTTTCTTACTCGTGTTGTGGAGAACAATATTTTCTGGAACTTTTTTTTAAATTTCATCAAAGTAATTTCCTTTTAAAGGATTTCATTTGCAAGATTGTTATTTTCTTTCTCTTTAGTAACAGTTAATTGTTTATTTGATTAGCTTAGCTTTTTCTACTTCTATTGTTTCTCTGTGGTTTTAATTTACATTCTAAATATAATATTGCATCACTAATTGAACTCATCTGATATCCTGGAGAGTGCTGGAAGGTGGGATGCAGCCGTAAGGGGTGGGTATTTCTGTTGGAGTCGGCTATGGAATTTATCATTAAATGTTGCTTAGTGCCTATAAGTGTTTTAACAATAGACAATTTGACATTATATTCCCTTGTTGAGTCCAAATGAGATTTTGATTAGGAAGAGGAATGAAATATGAATTTAAAACACATCATTATTTAAATGTACAAGTTGAAGGGAGGTTTTTTATACACCGACACGTGGACTAAGGGCCTTGCTTTTGTCTTACTTTGTTTCAGTTATTGGAGAATGGTAATGCTAAAAAACTTCTCATAGCTAGGATGATAGAGTGCCTTAGATGCGGAAAAGTCCGCTTGTAGTTCAAAAAAGAGGTTGTAATCGCAAACATTGTTACATTAATTGATGAAATGCATTTGTACTGTAAACTTAATGGAACAAAAAGACATTGGCCGACTTCCTTTTAATGATGATCTTTTCATTCCATAATATTAGGCAATGCAGTTCTGATTCATGATATTTCTGATATCAACTTCTGCCATATTCTAAAGGGATTGGTTTTAGCGTTTCTTATTATTATTATTATTATTATTTGCAAAATCAATGCTTTGTTTGCTTTCTATTATTATCTAGCTAGATGATGAGATAAATATTCATTGTCTTAGTCTGTGCTTTTTTTATGATATACAAAATGTTACTCTGCAAGGTGCCTGCTTCTATTTTAAGGCCTATCTTTGCTTAATTGCCTAGATTTTGATCTCAAGCTGCATGGCATGTAGACAAGTTAACCATTCCAAACCAGTTTGTCTGCATTTTCGGCGAGTAAACTCTACAAAATACAGCAGTTTAATCAAAATTTTCAAACTCATTTCTTTTTTATCCTCAATTGGCCCATCCAAAATCAAATAGGTTACAACTGAACCATGTTTTGGCATTCCAATCATATTAGAACCCTTAAATGATCCCACATGAATAAGTTTATTTAGGTTCGGACGGGTTGTTTATCTACTTCTTTAAATCCTTATAAAATGGTGCTCTCTGCTATCACGCAAATTTTCTCGTCTTTTAGTACTTAATTCTGCAGCTAAAATATAAACCAAAAGCTTCAGCTGATGTTTTCCCCCAACTTGTACAGGTTTAATGCAGTAATGAACAGCTGGGCTGCAGTCTTCAATTGGGCCCCGGGAGTCGCCTTCCAAATCCGCGACGTGCGTGCACGTGTGTCGAGCGACATAGCTTGGGTTACAATGAAAGCATATATTGACTTGGATTCAGACCAGTTCTTCATGACAAATGTCTTTGAATTCCATGAGGGGCGGTGGCTTATGGTCCACCATCACAGCTCTATTATGGTCATGGATGGCGATCCAGGGCCGGGTCAAGCCAATGGTTTTGCCTGAAGAATATAGCAAATTACAAAGCTTCTTCTTCCCTAATCTTTTTCTTTCTATTATTACCCTTGGGATTTATATCCTTTTTTGCTTACCCTGTAGATCGCTACTGTTTATACTATTTTTTTGTCCTGTTTTGTAATTTTTTTTTTTTTTTTAAGGCTTCAGTGTTGTTAATGGAGAGCTGCACAAATGGTGTGCTTTGATGTTTGCATGAGCCTTTTTTAAAGTGTTTAGCTGAAGCAGGGATGTTTGCATCTATTCTTAGGAAAGAGAATAGAGGATTGCAGGATGTTTGCATCCTGTAGTCTTGTCACTATTCTCAAGTCCTGCTAAGGTTCTTATATTTGATTTATTATGAATTATCAGTGATTTAATGAAATTTTATACTTTTATTCCAAGGAAAATGATTTGTTTTAGTTTGTCCAGAGTGAGATGAGAACTATTTAAAATTATAGAAATTATTCCATACGGAGTACGTATGCAGCTTTACATGCGTACTTCCAGTAATATGCCGCCACGTGGGGGTTATTGCAGGGGTTAATGCAGGGGGTTATTGAAATGGAACCGTGGAGATCATTGGAGTAGGACCGCGGAGGTTACTGGGGGGTTATTAAAGGGTTATTGCAGCATTATTGGCGTTAATGCCCCAATAACACCTCAATAACCCTCCCAATGACCCCTTCGTGGTCTCACTCCATTAACTTCCGTAATTTAACTGTATTTTTTTTTAAGATGGGCTCGATATGATACACATGGCGGCATATTATTGGAGTCCGAATGTGGAGCTGCATACGTGTTTCATATGGAATAATTTCCCTTAAAATTGAGGGTCTATTTTTAAAGTAGTTGTTGCGCATCTGCTTGGCTGTTACATTCTTGTTATATTTTGAAAATTTTTATGGCGGAAAGTTGTTTTTGAGCATCAAATCTGCCTTATAGTATCCATGATAATTTTCAAAAATGTTTTTTATTCCACAATAAATTTACAATCACCTTTTGAAAAGTTCTAGCAGTAACTCCAGAGTTTTTTTTTAATCTAACACTAATTAGAATCATTGTGTGATGTTCATAAATTTTTAGCTGAATTTGTTTTAAATTATCATTCAATATAAAACCTTTCATCACAACCTTCCACATATAGTGCTTGAACTTCTGCATAAATTGTATTTGTATACTTGATGGCCTTCAATAAATAAAAAATTCACAACCTCTAGCATTGATGATATGCATAAGAGTAAAATTAGTTGTTGTAATTGAAAGATATATTGTAGCATTGATGATATGCATAAGAGTAAAATTAGTTGTAATTGAAAGATATATTGCTAGCTTTACTATGTGTGGTAATCTGTTATGATGTGGCAACTGTAGATTTTTTAAACTTGTTTATCTATGGCATATGATTCAGAAAGTTAAAAATTATAAGTTATATTTAGATGAGTTAAAACAATCTCTGCAAGATGAAAAAATAAATAAATTAAAAAGGAGTTAAAACAATCTCTGCAAGATGAAAAAATAAATTAATTAAAAAAAAAAAAAACATTTATCGACCTTGTGGTGTGCTGGTATGTGACGTCGTGACAGCTGATCGGTTTAAGCCATCTTTTTGGCTTGCTTATGATGTGTTTAAGGCATTTTTTTAGTTGGGCGCGTTTTGAAAATGCCAACTGGGTTGTTTGCAAATCATGGCGCGGTGACTTTTAATAAACACAACTTAATTTTATGAAGTTGGTTGACCCTCGCATTTGATGTTTCATTCGTTTTGTGATTACCTGGTTGGCTCTCACTTCTCATCCCTTCGAGCGATGATGCTGCCTAGGATTATCTTCTTCCCTTGCTTTTGCTTCATTCTTCGGCACCCGTGGCAAGAGATTGCGAGCTTTATTTCCTTTGCTCTTCTTTGACCTCTTGTGTTTTATACCCTTTATAGTAAATGTTTATGTGGGGCAGCCTTTTCGTTGTGATTTGTGGTTTGTAATCTCTTTGTTATTTGCGGTTTGTGGTCTGTGGCTTTGCTCTTTGAAGTTTGTGTTTTGTTGCCTCTTTGCTCTTGGCGGAATGTGGCTGAGAGAAAGGGATTTGGAATATCTATATTTCGTTTTTTCTATGAACTTTGGACAAATTGGTTTGTAGTCTTTTTGCTCTTTGCGATTGGAAGAATGGGATTTGAAAGATTCGCATTTCATTTTTTCTGAGGAATTGGTTTGTGGTCTCTTTGCTCTTTTGCGGTTTGTTTTTGGAAGAAAGTGATTGGAGTTGAGTTGTTTAGCTTTGTTATGGGTCCCTTTGCCCTTTGTGGTTTGTGGTTATGGGTGTCTTTGTTCTTTGCAGTTTGCGGTTTGTGGTTGTTTTAAGGATTTTTTTTTCAATTTCTTTTCAATAGCTGCGGAGTGGAACTGTCATGCGTGCTCGGGTTAGGTCATTTGGGTTGTGTTTGTTTGAAAAGAATTTTCGTTGGAAGTGGTGAGGTGTTTAGGTTGTTTTTTAATGATGTTAGCAATGGCGACGATGCTTGTTATTTGAATTTGAGTTTATCTTGGCTAATGTGATTCGTGATCCGATGTTGGCAGATGGTGGTCAACATTTCCACTTATAAAATTCAAAACAAATTCTCAGGGAATAAATTTGAGTTTGGATCTACTAAATAAAATAGTTGTTTGTTCATATTTAATATAATGCATTCATGACATCTGTTTGAGATGAATTTGTGTTTGGACTAGTTAGGTTTTTATGTTGCTCTCTTTCTCATTATGGTGTGGTGGTGGTGGTATGATGCTTGTAATAGTGTGGTGGTGTGGTGGCGTGGTGGTGTTGGTGTGATGGTGGTGTTGTGGTGGTAATGGGGTGGTGTTGGGGTTGTGTGATTGTAATGATGTCATGGTGGTGTGGTATAGTAGTGATTGTGTGGTGGTGGGTGTGGTGTGGTGTGGTGTGGTGTGGTGTGGTGTCGTGGTGTTGGTGTGGCTTGTGATTGCACAAGGGGCGTATGGAGCAAAACAAGATATTTAGGAGGGAAAATTACTAAATTCTCTCTCCTATGTTAATAAAAACTGGAAATTTAGGAGAGGTGTAGTTGCCCTCTTATATATTATTATGGAAAGCTCGACATGAATGAAGCTTTAAAGGTGGTTCCCCATCGAGTAGCGATAACCTCCGCAAAGGGCAAGGCACAAATAATACCAGTAGCGATACTCGACAGTTACTTTCGTGAAGACATCAATAAAATTCACCTAAGTTCTGGTGAAAAATGCAACCCAACTAAGACGACAATCCACTTGAGCAAATGAGACAACCAGTGTAAGAATTGTGTCATTAAAAATAAAAAAAAATGATTGATGGTCTTTCCCAAGATTTGTATCATCAATCAATACCAACACTCATCACCAAGCAGCTACCATAGGAAAATAATGTTATAAGGGTAAAATAATAAATAGAAACAAAGGTATGAAAAAAAGAGATAAAAAATCTTCATTCATTTATAAATGAAAAGTATAGTAGTCTTTTTTCTAACAAAATTTTTCATTTACACAAAAATATCTTCACAAAATTATTCTAGAAAATTTTCTAAATTTCAGCTGACCGACTGGAGGACTCTTTGTTATTTCTTACATCGGAATCATTCTTATAAGACCCCTCTGTGTTGGTATATAATGCAACGAATTCATCCAAGTTCGTGAAATTTGGGTCAACCACACAACCAAATGACCTGGTCAGTCCTCGTGATGTTGCCAACCTGAAGCCACTCTCTTCCTATCGCATGTGGGAAGGAAGCACCTCCTTAGTTTTCTTTGTCGCCATAAATGCCTTCAGTTCCTCATTCTCTTATTGACTGATCGACAAAAGATTCCATAGATTGGAAACATCTTTATCCACCACTGCCATCTTCCTCTCGACCATCATTACTTGCCTCTTAGCCTTCTTAGCAAGCTTGACTGAGATTCAACCCTTTCTGTTGCTTCAACCCACTTCATCCTGGTCCAGTCCAGTGCCATCGACTAAATGTGGGAAGCCTTCCACACCTTCAGATGGTAGCGATTGGCTTTATTGTAAAATTCATATTGTTGGAGCACCTAGAGAGACTTCATAAAAGTGCATAACCATATTGCACCAACAAAGGTGCACGGGCAGAGTTCGGTCAAGACCAAACCATTGTACCATTCCATCTCTCGATCGATGACAGTGTATTAACCATCAGAGGAATTCCAAATCTTTGCCCCTGCATCTTAGAGGGAGCCAAGTCAACTGGGGAACCCTTTCTCTTTTTTGATATGAGAGAGACGGTGGAGGAGTTGACTCAAAAACTGTCTCCTTCCCTTCCCTCGGTTGTACCTCCTTTGGAGATGCTGCTTTCGGGTCTGTCTTTGACTCAGTTTGGGTAGTAGAAGAAAACTGACTAACCTCACTCTTGAAAGATAATCTAATGAATGAAGGATCATGGTGAGAATAAGCCAACCTTTCTCTCACCCATTCCTCAAAGGACTCATAAGCCTCACTCTCTTTTGGGCAACCAGTTGGCTCTTCAAATTCTCACCAACCAGCATTTGAAGGAGTCACATCTAATAGATATGTGCTAAAATTGGCATGATCCAAATGTCAACCAGCAATGACGGTTAGTTCACCAGTTGAAATTTATTGGATCACCACTGTAATTGTAAAAATAGAGAAAATAAAGTCCTCACCTATTAAGCTGACTACATGCATCGGGCGTAGACTGACCTTCCTTCGATCATCAGAACTTCCTGCCCAGGAACTCTCTACGTTGTTTCTTCAACTGTGGCCTTCTTCTGATCCAATCAGATAACAACTTCTGACCATTGTTTTATTTCTTCAGCATTAGAGGCGGCCCATAAATATTTTGTCAGTCAGCAAAAAATTTAAGTGAACAAAACCTTATTCACAGTCATGGTACTGAGTAACTGAGAGCAAACGTTCATCGATTTCAGCCCCCTCGACCCAGGGGTAGTTTGTACACTTTTTTCTTTTGAAGACATCATCGGTTGGTACAATCCTGATGCTTAGCTTTCATTAGACAAGGCAATGAAGAATTTGTACTTCCAATCCATCACCTTATTCTCCAAGCCAAAAAATTGGGAGTGACTGACCGTCCCAAACTGCACATATCCATCAGCCTCCACTCTAAAGGAAAACATGTGAATGAACAGATTGATCGACCACAATAATCCTCTTCTCCAGCAGAAAACCACATAATTCATTATTGTTGTACTTTAGTTTGGCTTGATCTGTATTGTAATGACCTCATATCGATTAAAAATTGCCCTAAATTCTTGGCACATGGGCAACCATAGTCCATATCATGGTTGGTCTCTGTAGATCACCAAGTCTTCACCAAACCTATTAACCAGCATCTCATCTAGGAGAGCGGCTCTGAACTTAATGGTCG